TGTTTGTTTTGCACCTTTTTATGTTTAACATGCTGAGCAGTTTTCGATGCAATTTGGCAAGAACATACTTAATTTACATAATGGGGAGAAATATAGGGCCTCTTATCCTACGAAAGATGCGACAAGAAAGAAATAAATAACAACTAAAATTGTACATCGCTCCAGCTTATAACTCAAATTATAAACACATACAGGCAGCCTTTGCAGGCTTATCCTGATTTTTTGCCTACAATTCGTAGAGACCCGTTATTATTAATACAATTTTATCCCAGATTCTCAGTTATACGTGAAATATCTAAGTTTTTTCTCGCTACTGTTAAAATTTTGACATAACCTTCCCATTTGATTCGTCAATATTTGTGCTTTGGCGACCGGACTTTGCCTTTAAATATCATCCTTTTAAGTAAATAGTAACAGCGACGAGTATTTTTCATATTGATTATTTATCAAATTATTTCACAATATATTACGTCAAACTATTTATTTTTAATGTGTGATTAGCATCAGCCACTTGTTAAATATTAGTTATAAGTTTGAATTTGAATAAATATTAACTGATGTGATATTTACTATACCCAGAGTTATTTTTAACTGTAATATAACCTCAAAAACCATAAATATAAGAGTAAATTCACATCCCATATGTGCATGGTATAAGGTCATGGGATATCGGGACTACAAAAATGTTCAACGACGGTAACTCGAAACCATTTTATTAATACCCGTTTGTAAGCTCTTATTAAATACTAGCAGAACCCGTGGCTTCACTCACGCTAAAACTGCAAAAAAATCTCTCTTTCTCTCTCAAAAGGTAGTTTCATACAAACTTTCATCCCCAATTTTACTCTCTTGTAGGATGAATTTCGAAAAATGCTAAAATGCTGTATTTATTTAATTTTATTAAAGAGCATTAATTCCAATTTTCAAGTAATTATGATCATAAATATTTTTTTGTATTGTATTATAACGTATTTTCCTGCGTGAATTAGATAATCTCCTGCGGTATAAAGTAGCCTATGTCACTCTCCAGCCCTGCAACTATCTCCACACAAAAAATCACGCCAATCCGTCACTCTGTTTCGACGCGAAAGAAGGACAAACAAACAAACAAACAAACAAACAAACAAACACATTTTAACATTTATAATATTAGTATGGATGTACATTATTATAAACTTACAATGTTATCAAAATTGTAAGTCGATATTAACCTTCTTTTACTTGTCATATCGAATTAAAAGTTTTAAAGTAGGTATATGAAATGCGCATGCCAATATTATAATTTCATTCAATGAGCTTATCTGAAGAAGGATCTAGAAGATATTAGAAATATTCATTTAATTAGCTATCGCTTGTCCCATACATTAAAATTGGTTAAAGGCGTGTTTTATTAATTTTTTAAATCATTATTATCTTAACATGTATTCTAATTTTATTACCTTATTCAACTTAAATATTCGCATGCTCCTTCAAGAATTAAAATATTTGCTCTTGAATATAGCTGTTCACATCACTTTGTGTAACTAAATTTGTATTTTTTTTTAATATTATAAGTCATATAATTGTCTGTTTTATAAAATTTTTAACGTACTTATAAAGTTTATAGATAGGTATGTAATTTAACAGTTTTAGGGTTGAGAAATAGTAGTATTTATAATATAATACTACTTTTTGATGATTTTCAAATAAGGTTGGAAGTTAAACAAATGAGTTTAGTCGCTTAAAATCATCATAATTTATTATCCAGATTAGGACTAAAAGGGTAGTTCTCGTAATGGTAATTTGGTGGCAGTAACTAGATCGTTTAGTATAGTATTGTAAAGAGTTGTGTCACCTTAGGACGATTTGAGATTTTCGGTGGTTTTCATCTGTTCGCATTACCAAGTGTACGATAATTGATACGGCGGGTGCGCCTTGCATCTGTCCAAATATCTTATATACAGAGTGTTCTGTATAAAATTAAACTTCTGACATTTATGACTGATAGAAAAAAATAAATGTTAACAAAAAAAAATTATGGACATAAAACTATTATAAATTATAAGAAAGGAGAACTTTGTTTTAAATCGAACACCCATAGTTTTAAAAGGAAGGTAATTTCAATATTTGCTAGTCTATACTAATATTATAGAAGTAAAGTTTGTGAGGTTGTAGGGGGTAATCTCTAGATCTACTGAACCGATTTAGATGAAATTTGGTAAGAAAATAGTTTGAGACCCTGGGAAGGACAGGATTTTTATCCCGGAAATCATCCCTTAAGGGGGTGAAAATGGGGATGAAAGTTTGTATGGGGAAACAAGTTAGGGAAGAACCCGAACTAAGCGAGGGTGAGTCGCTAGTGAAAAATAAATATAATACATATCATAATCATATATCATAAGTAAAGTTTGAAGCAATTCTATGATTTCACCATCAATTTATGATTCATATGTAGCTATATACATCTTCAGCAATACATCTAATAGTGCTACTAAGTAGGAGCAACCTGTATAAACTTATGCATATACCTTAAGTAGAAACGTAAGTAAGAAATGTATCAGATGTGAATGCAAACACTCGCACGTGTTACTGTTACGCTCATGTTACTTTCTTCAGATAAACTTAAAATTTTAACTAGTTCATAGTTGGAATTTTTTACAATTAAAGTATTTTCAGTAAATTTAGTAATGATCATGATGTTCTCCTGACCGATACCGGCCACGGCGGCCAATCTCATTGAGACTAGCCAACTGCGCAGGAGATATTATAGTGCACAAGTGTACGAGCAGACACAATTGCACTCTCTATTCCTGTCACTCTCATACTCCGGTGAGACGACTGCTCGACACGACCAGTGAGAGTTAAGGCGCAGGGCCGACGGCTTTACGTGCTCTCCGAGGCACGGGGGTGAAATACCGCCAGCTTCCCAACTCCGGGCAGTTTCTGAGACTTACTATACAGAAAGACTCAATAACTAAACTTGGCCCGACCCGGGACTCGAACCCAAGACTTCTGAGTGTGCAGCCGTACATGCTAGCCACTATGGTGGTTGATGATATATAAATTGCCTTTACAGTTATTCGATAGCTCAGCAATGTGTGGCACAGCGAGAGTATCACAAGTAATTAATTGGACAAGGCTAACCGTGTAATAGAATCGTTTCGCCACGTGCTTTATGAAGACAGATATGAATTGTTTGGTGTTATAAGTATTTACAATGTGTTGTTGCTTTAATATGTGATTAGTGAAAGTATAGTGACAAAAAGCTTATGTAAAGCTTGAACTAATAATAATAAACAAAGTTCATTTTTTATTTACCTTGCTCTATTCCGAATATAAAGAAATTTAGAAATTTAATTACATATTCAGTAAAAGTATCAATAATAATGAAGTGTATTGTATTTAATTTCAATCATTCTGAAGACAAATTTATCTAAAACTATTCATAATTATTTACTGAGCAAAACATACGCATAGTTATTGAAAGCCCAAAGTAATATTTTTAAAGAATATAATAAAAACTAAAAAAAAATGAAAAAATATTTAGTGGCATATTGTACATATACATAAGTCAATAAAAAAAACTTTTTTCATAACTAAGACGAATAAACACGAAAACGATTGATTATAATAATATTAGCAAGAATATTTTGATTAAATTACGTAGTATACTAACTTTCACAGGTGGCTTCAATCGTACAGTGTCAATATCCATTCTTCTTTACATTTTTCTCTACATACACTGAAAATACAATAGTTACCTTTTTATATGAGTCATCATCATCTCCCTGCCCATTTCCCAATCACTTGGGATCGGCGCAGTACATCTTCTGTACTGCTGATAGGATTTGGGCTATCTGCTTGACAGAGACCCTCCTTGGGAATGCTATTGTTTGTCGCGGAATAGACCCAAGGTGCGATGACCAGGACATCTAATTTAGATTTAATCCCTCAACGACCTCGAACACGCCGGCGTTACAGTTAACAATAGATTTCTTAGAAATTTAAATAATTTCTTGGAAATTTACCTAGAGGTGTTAAGTATATAATATTATGTAATGCCAGTAATTTTTTCACCCCTTTCATTGGCACAGTCAATTGCTTGAAGTTCGGCGTGGCTAAATATTGGAGAATTTTTAAATTTACGTCTTGTAATATGCATATTCCATATTGTTTTCTTTTAAAATATTTTTCATAGTATTATTCAAAGTTTTAATGTAATTTTCACCTGTTTATATAAGGATAATACTAGATTATTACAGACAAATAATAATTAAACAACGCTGTGGTATATTTTCTAAACAAGAAAATAAACTTAACGTTGTATATACTCGTATTAATACTCATAGTTTCCATAACGTAGCGTAATATAGATATTATTTAAGTAAACATTTCAAGGAATATGTAACAGAGGAACTTCTGACGTCAAATACGCAAGTTTGTTCTGTGCTGTTTGATCTAACATATTTGCGTAAACATGCACATGTCGTAGGGCAATGTAAATCTTTGGTTGAACTCCTGTTTGAGGTTTGTGTTTACGAACTAATGGTATTATCAACTGATCTTTCTATTGTTGTAGGTTACTCTTGTAGACCGATCATTCATTTATAGCTTTAATTCCACAATAAAGTTACCAAATTTCATAATTACCGCTCAATCTCATTTGTGTCTTCCTCACAAAACGTGACACTGGCAGAATGGATTGCGTCTGGTAACGCAAATATAAGCCATTAAAAAAAAACACTGATGTGAAAACAGTGTATTTAATACGGTAGTCAACGATTCCGGTGATTAAATAGATTTATTAAAAGCTTGTTTTGATAAATATGAAAATTATAGTTTGCTAGTATTTATTAAATTTAAAAAACGGTCCGAACTGTTATTAATTTGCTTCTATCAAAAAAGTTGTATAATTTACTCTTACAATAAGATATGTATATACATAATGGAACACATATTAAAAAATTAAGGTCTTAGCATACTAAATTTAGCTGTTCAATTTATTTAATAAAATTGCCTCAATTTTCATTTCTAAGTGCAGCAGCCGCTTCATACTTGCATACTTCTATTTTGACATGGCGATACTCTGAAATAAAAGTTACATTGTAAACATAATCAACATAATATAATCTCCTATAAAACATCAACTACTATGTAATAAAGTATTATACCAAAAAAAGGCGCCATCTATACAGGTAAAGTATCATGGTCTGACTGATTCATCGACACCCTAACAAAACTGGACCACGAGAGTTAATTTTCTATTGGATATAGGTACCCTTTTATTTATCTTCGTGATTATCTATTTGCTTTAATGAATAAACGTGAGGGAAAAGAATTTTTTGAAAATTTAAACCTTCTTCTTAAAGTAAGAATTTTGAGAGAATAATGCTTAGGTACTAGACCTACTAGTAGTATTAGTAATAATAAACTCACAATGCTACCGATGACACATTTGGAAAACTTAAAAGATTGTGGAAATGACAGAATACGTTTGCCATTATAACTGTTTGAGCTTGAATTATATTTTAAACAATTTATTTTTAAACTTACGTTTCTTCTCATCGCAGTTATATTCATATAAGTCACAATTATCATTAAACATTCTGGAAATGCCTAAAGAATCTTGTCCACAAATCGGTACGAAATCATGTTGACATTGATCAGCCATTTTACAGAAGTTTATAACCTAAAAATTATAATAAAATAAATATAAACATAACTTATTCTGCTTGCTTCCTAAAACTGGGATGATCCTATTTTGGTATAATTTGATATAAGAATAATTGAATTTTTAGGCAAAACAAAATAGTAAAAAAGTTAGTATGAAAGGTTGGTTAAAAACTAATTTAATCTTGAATCACATACAATTTTCTGAGTAAAAGTAGTTATCAAAAAGGAAATAAAATAAAAACAGTAAATAGGTGAAGCCTAGGCCTAGGCCTAGTTAAGGAAAGGTATGCAAAAATTTCCATGAAAATAACTAATTACTAATGTTGAAACGAATGCAATCCATCTCATAAAATATTATAAGAAATTTCCATGTAGGTATGAAGTAAGCTAAATAATTTAACTCTGCGCTACTTACAGGCTCTAAAGGGAAAAAATAATCTTCTGCCTCTATTTCAACGTGAGTCCAAACCTCTGCTGCATATTCTAAGATAATTAAACCTATAGTAAAACAAAATATTAAAAAAATAAAAACAAAAGTTATAAATACAAAAAAGCTCTAACTGAAAGTTCGGAGAAAAAACTAATGTAATTATTTATATATTATAATATGTTATATGCATCCTGCACCCTAATATATTAACTATCGCATAAACAAATTTAAAATAATCAAATTCTTATATTTGACGAATATCATCAATTTTTTTGTAAAAAAAAATCGATAATCAGAATATTGCCAACATTAAATTTTCGTTCTTTTATGAAAAGTATTATTAGCTACAACACAACACTGATCTATGTTGATCATTTCTTTCTAATAATTGTATAACTAAATATTTACATGCATACAGTATAAAATATGATGCATAATAGTCTTTTTTATTAAACCACCAAAATGTCAAAATAAAAGTTTTTTTCTAAGTAAGTATAAGTATATAAGAAAAAAAAACATTTTTTTAATTTTTGCCTCTCTGTCTGTTTTTTTGGTCTGGCTAATCTCCGAAACAGCTGATATTTTAATTTTATAAGAAGTAGCTTTGGCTGCTATCATTTAGAATTAAGAATTAAGGTTCCGCGCAAATAAATTAAAACCCATGAAATTGCAAAACCCGCGTATCTAGAGACGCACCCGAGCGAACCGATGGTAAGTTCGTAAATAAACTACTACAAAGTTCCTAAGTTTACACGATGTATGGCGTTCAGAAAAATCTTAAAATTAACTTACTTGTTAAAACCCTCCTTAATATCATATCACACGACCTATCAAATACACGCTTTACTATGATCTAGTTTAGTTTTCAATAGAAATGTTTGTCCATACATCAAGTTGAAACAGGAAATTGTAACAAAACATATGCTTTATGTAGAAACCTATGTGGAGCAGTAGGATACTATAAACAGAGGAGAATAACAATTTGCTATTAAGAAATATTTTTGCGAATTTAGATGCCAAATAATAAAAATGTCAAAAATTTTCTTAAAATAAAATAAAAAGTTAGCATATCTACTAACTATTGGGACATAATTATTTTTTTTTCATTGTATTTTAGTTCAAGTGCTTACATAATTTTGCTAGTTTTTTTAATTATAAAATTTTAGGGACTTGCCTTAGTTTCTCCAGATGCGTCTCTAAGTGCCTAACAATATCTTACTCTAGTCAGCTATATCGTACTCTATTTCTGTCTATCTGTGTACTCATCGGTGGTAGCTTCCTCACGGACTGACTACACTGACGCTTTCATTAAATTGACGTATACTTATAAGAAAAAAAAAACAATTTTTAAATTTTATGTTTGTCTGTTTTTTTCGACTAATCTCCGAAATGTTTGGACATAATTTGATGGGATTTCACTGGCAGATAGCTGATGTTATAAGGAGTAACTTGGGCAACTTTTATTTTAGAAAAAAAAATAGGGTCCCACGCCAAAACATTATAACCCTTGAAATTGTGAATAAAATCCGCCACGCGAGTGTAAGTCGCTAATATTATATAAATATTTACTATCTCGCATCGCAGTCAAAGGTTTATGACACCTGGCATCAGGTCCGCATCTTCAACGCCATACTAAACCACAACATGAGTGCATCGGATATTATCATTTAATAGATCAATACACCGGGATGTGGTTGAACATCATTATTCATTGTAAGTAAATACCTACTTTTATCTTCAAAACACCTGTATTATAAACGTCTCACGTAATATATAAATTAACTATTATTTACATATCATTTATTTTGACATAAAATCGTGTTCTAAGTGAGATAAAATAATACTAATGTATTATATATCTCTCGAGGCTATATATAGAATATAATTTTAATCTCGTAGGTTTGTATGTAAATGTAATGCGAGTATTATATTAATTGTAACATGCAGATTGCATAACGTTGTATTCAGAATATTCTTAGAAAAATGGTGTTAGGGATTGATAAGCAACAGAAGCAAGATCAATAATATTTTTAGTCCATTTTAAGACAAATTAAGCTGATGTTGAAAATTGTTACAATTTGAAAATTATATTAATATTTTAAAGTAACAAATTTATCACATTATGACATTTAAATATTTTCATTATTTTAAACTCCTCCAGGTAAATTTCTAAGAAGCTAATTAAATTAACTGTAACACGGTAGTCGTTGTTTTAAAAAATATATATTTATTCTCTAATCAATACATGGTCATGTATGTATTCAATTCTTTTTAACGTCCCACTGCTGGGTACGGGCCTTCCCTCAATACAAGGGGTACCATAGTCCACCACATTAGCCAAGTGCGGGTTGGCGGACTTCACATGTCTTTCGAAAAATTGCTGGTTCTTTCAGACATGCAGGTTTCCTAACGATGTTTTCCTTCACCAAAAAACAAGTGGTAAACATGTTGGAAATGATTCGCAAATGAAAATATCAGACGTGCGAGACCCGAGATTTGAACCTGCTTTACTCGGTTTTCCAAGCGAGCGCGTTACCACTGGCCTAACACAGCCACTACATGGTCATATACTACTCGTTTATCGATTAAAATATGCAAAGTACAAAATTGAAATAATTAAATATACCAACATCAAGTAGAATTCGCATTTCTAATTAATTATGTAACATGTTATCATTAGCATCCTAATAAAATAAGTGGACGATCCCACGTGGCCAATTTATGATGTAGTTCTATGAATATGGATTATAATTTTTGTACTCAATTAAAAGCAATTACGCCTACATTTGCATTTGATTTAAAATTAAATATTAATTCGAATAAAATAAATAAATTAAATAAAATAAATAAAAGTTATACTAATATATAATGAAATAATAATTGTTCATATAATAATAATTTATTATCAAGTTTTTTTTTGTTGTTGTATCAAGTTAAATTCATTAATAATAAACAGTGAGTCGGAAACACTCAGCGAGAAAATAAACAAAAGCGTCAACATGGATTTCCATATTTCTAACTTCAATAACGATCTTCCAAGCTTTTATACTCCTTCTCCTCAATAACATTATTTTACTTATTTTATTAATCTATTCTAATATTATTAATAATGAAATAATTTTTAATTAAAATGCAATTTTTTATGCTACTAAACCGATCGGATTAGATTGTGTGATGTCATTCAGTCGGTATTAGTTTTATTCAATAGACATTATAAATTGGCCGCTTGACAACAACTTGCGTAGAGGGAGAGAAAATAACAGTGACTTTTAAGAGAAACGTTAGGAAAGTCTAAAATCATCTTTACAGCTAATTTCAAAATATTATACTAACATAAAAATTGAATTTTCATTAAACTAGGGAATGACATACAATTCTTGTTAATTTTCACTAAGTACCTATATAGGTATATATATATATATATATATATATATATATATATATAATATAAAATTCTTAACATCATCTCATGTTGCTATCTAAAAAGCGAAAACCTCTCAAAACTACAGCTTTTGTTTCAGCTCTCATAAGCTGCAATGAATTCGGGCCGTAACAGTTTAATAACAAAGCGAGCAGTGAGATCGTATCGCTTTAGCAAAAAAAACAAAAGTGTGCTTCATTTTGAGTATAGAATAAGATGGCCTTAGTGACGCGTTAGAACACGTGTCTTGTATTACCTACTCAAGATGGTGGTCGCATATTCATTTCTTGCATTACAAGATAATTATTTGTATTTATCATTGTTTATATTCTTGCAGTAGTATTTAAATGAAAATTTTGTTTATTAATTTACTAGAAACTTAACCTCTCTTTGATCGCCCTAGTTAACCTTATAGTAGGAGAGTATGTGTAACTTCAGGTCTATCCATTAAATAAATTTGAATTTTGATCCAAATCTGTTTCAACGTAAAGGAGTATATATAACCAACAACATATATATAAACATACAATATACACAAACTTTCGAATAAATAATAGTAGCCCTATTATTCTATCACACAGTAATATGACTTGTTACATAAAAATAGCTTAAAAGGGGTAAATGTTATTCAATAATAGCTATGGAATTGTGTCGGTCTAGTTGGGATAAGTGACTAATGCCCGATTTCACCAATATCCTATAAGCTACCACCTACGTATGGGATCCCTAGCTTAAAATTCGCCTAAAGTAGCCCCTAAATTAAATTTCGTTTTACCATCGTCACAACCCGTATTTCTAGTAACTATATTTAGGGGGCATTTTAACATTTAGGTGACCCCTAACTGTCGGTGAAACAGAAACTGTCCCCTAACAGCCCCCTAACCATGCTTAGGGGATCCCTTAAACTTAGGTGACATTGGTGAAATCAGCCATTAGAATACCGTAATATCGCAGTGAATTGGTGAAAAAGTGAAGAGGTAAGGGGTCACTCTCTCTTCTGACTGTAATGAAAAGCGCTTGAGGTTAATAAAATAGAGATAAATAGGTGTTAGTAATATACTTGGCATTCGTCCTTGGCTATTTCGATTTAGAATGTTTTATAAAGGTTTTTAGAAAAATGTTTATATTTCGATGAATATATAAAACAGATACTTTATTATATAACGTATGTTTTGACATTTCGTATTAATTTTCCCAATAAATTAACATTTATAACTGTACAGATTAATAAATAATTATTATAATTATCGTTTACGTATGCATAATATATTTCATCGATTAAAATCGTAACAAAATCGATTACACACAACCATTACGTTGTGCCTGAGATAGCGTATACTAAGCCATATTTACAACGGCGTAAACATATCAAACGATTACGTTATATAATTAATACGTTAATATTATACCCTTTTATTTACATAAACCATATTTCAGATATATTATTGGCCTTCCTTATTTTGTCGGTATGCAGTCATCTCCCGGACTACGCATCTACACCATCCGTAAGACATAAATGTATACTTATAATAAAATTGTAAATAAGCCGAATCTGTACATTAAATATTTTTTAGAAAATCTTATTGAAATAGACATTATTATCGATACAGAGGCCGAATCTATAGATTTTAGAATTTTTGTCTGTCTGTCTGTCTATCTGTTACCGCAACACGGAAAACTACTGGAGGGATTGTGATGAAATTTGGTATAATGTTAGCTGCTTATCCAGGTCAAACTTTTACCGCGGAAAATTCTCTCATTTCTGAGAAAAAATACAAAAACTGCAATGTAAAAGTATACCAATATGTAAAACCTAAGAATTTAGTTTTTGGTCATCTGAACGCGAGCGGATTATAGATTATAACTTTGAATAATTCGATTGAAATGCTATTTGATTTCATATCTATTAATAAATTCTGATGTAATGTGCCTATGAACTTATTAATATGGATACTGCAGTGATTTAGTGATATTTATGAATAGTTTATTACTATGATGCAATTGACCTTACAAGTGAAGGAAAATCATAGATGGAGATATTTTTTTTAATTTAATATTAATTATTAAGGTACGAATTATTCTCATCTACAAATATATGGTTGCGATCAGAATAGCTTTAAAAATTTAGATTAGTTTGGCACAGTGTGTACGGCACACAATCTCAAACATTACTTGCTTAATTTTATAATACAATATAACTTCTTTTTATGATACAACCCCAGCTGTAGCAGAGCAAGGATACTCGTAGTATAATAAAGTGTACGTGAACTTCTAGGACTGTCTACTACTAAAACTTAATGAAAAATGTTTAATATTATGATGAAAAGATAATAAAAAACATAACCCTCCTTCTGGCGGAGTCGGGTAATTAAAAAAAAATATGTATTTTATTTCAGAACAAAATTGATCAATTTTGCAGTCTTGCAGATACTTGTATACATGACACCATACCGATTTGTGGCAAAATGGGAGATGAAAAAAGAACATTTTTGGACTTATGTGACATGCTCGAGTTTGCCTGCGACACTAATCAGAGTGAGTTGAATAACACAATTCATTACAATACTGAAAAATAATAAGAATAAGTAAATAAAAGAAATATTTTTTTCAGTTTTTGTGCACGTCGATGATATGGCTGGATGTCCAGGCAAGGGCAAATAAAATCTGATAATATTTAAAAAATCTTTTATCAACATAGAATTTTCGTTCAGAAAAATATTAAATAAAATATACATATAAAACTAGCAGTGTTATATTATTAAATCTCTTACTATTTTGAAGAAACAACAATCAACATCAACAAACAATCAGATCAGATCAGATTTATTTTAGATGATCCTACATGTATGATAAAGTGACTCTGATAGCAGCACTTTCAAACTAAGATAATTACTTAGGCTAAAGACTAAGCTATAATATATATATATATATAATATATATATATATATAAATATAAATATATATACAACTTTATCAATATTTATCCTGTACCAAAATTGACCTTGTGACCAACTTTGACTTGAATCAACTTAATACTATCGGATATTTAGCTGAAAGAAATTACTTATTCCTGAATATACTATAGGTAAAATATATTTTAAGGTAATATTATGAAGCAAAGTCAAATGCAAACTTAATTATAACGAAGCAAGATCATACACACACTAACTTTTTGCACAAAAAATATCTTTACTTAAATATGTGTTTAAGTACCATTACCGTAATGCCTGTCTGACCCGAGATAGATAGAGATAAATATATTGTACTTTATATGGGCGTGACTGAGATGGAGATACTGAAGGCTGAGCGGTAACAGGTTGGGGTAAGTATAGCAAGCGGTAAGGTACGGGTGAATCCTTATGCAGTGCAATTGGATCTTAACCAAAGCTTAATCATTTGTTTCTTATCTAAGCTTGCAATTTTTTTATATTCTAAAAATTGTTTTTTTTTTTATAATTTGTTTCCGTCAACTTATAATGAATTACTCACAAAGTAGGTGAATCAAGTTATTATGAAGATATAAAATTTTCGAAATCGATAGATCGTTGTAACGAGATGTTTTTACAATGTAACATTAAAACATAATAAAATAAAAATAATTTATTGTGATGCAAAAAATATTTAAATTGTAAAAAATATTGTGTAAATGAGTGTTTAATCTTTGGTTAAACGTAAAACTGGTGTTAAAGCTGGTCCTTCAGTCCGTGAGAAAGGTACAATTTGAACAAGGCATAATTAACGGGGGCATTAAATCAGCCCGCCCGCCGATTTTGTTGATTAGCCGGTTTCGGGACAGGTGGATTTAGGGGTCAAGGACAGAGGTGAAAAAGTTAACCTGACCTCTGAGAAAGCTTTTGCAAATTAAAATTTTTACATTATTTCTACATAAGGTTAATTAAATGCATACACATTCGCAAAACATATTATTTATTTCATAAATATATCTCAATGAAAAATATTTACTGGTATACAATTTATCATATTTTATACTAAGAAATAGTAAGAATATAATAACGACTAAGACGAAATTTAGAGTTATAAAATATTGCTTCTAAACAAGAAACGACATCTATCTATACAAATAGTTAAAATTCTGAGTCGAATCTGTACATTAAATATTTTCTGGAAAACTTTATTGATATAGTCATTACTATTGATACAGCGGCCGTCTCTATAGTTTCTAGAATTTTTGACTATCTGTCTGTCTGGGAACGCATCACGAGAAATCCACTACAGATTTTGATGAAATTTGTTATGATGATAGCTAGTTATCCGGGTCAACATAAAGGATACTTTTTACTGCGTGAAAATATCTCTGAATTATTTGTACTATTCGTTAAAACGGACCCAGGAACGACCCCGAGCGAAGCAAGGGTGAGTCGGTAGTTTAACATTAAACTCGAAGAAAACAATGCCATGTATTTATTACTACTGAGATTTTCTATTTAAAACTCGATTATCTAAACTAATTTTCTTATATAGATCCCAAATTATCCTTTGATTATTTTATATTGTTTTATCGACGTAAATTATTAACTCTTCTATATTAAATAATAAGAACTTATATTTATTTTGATTGTTCTTCAATACTGTGCCATTAAAAACTTTAGAAGCCTCAGATCTCAAGACCAATAGCTTATAATTTTTCACTTTATCTCCCCCAATATATAAGCAGATCTTCCAAGAACACTACAGCATGTTGTTAAAATTGCATTGAATTTATAAGACTAGTTCAAGATAAAATAAACCTTCCGAGCTTAAGAATAAAGGTTATTATAAAAATATTGTAACCAAGACTTTTACTCTCAGTCGAGATAAGCTACACATTAGCTTAACTTTTAAAAATGATGAAAGCTCCTAAAAATAGAGATTACATTTTAAATTATACTTAAGAAATTCTGACATAAATATACCTTCTCTCATTAAAGTCATGAAGTAGGAATATTTCACAATATTTTAACAGCTGTCTTATAGTAGTGAAATGATTATATTTGGTGACTATCACATTTTATTCTAGGAAGGTAGGCATAAACTCTCAAGAACTCAGGGTTTTTTTGAACAATACTCAATACTGTGGTTTGATTTAAACATACCGAAATAAAAATATTTATATTGTGTACGTACATTTGCTTTGTACATTCATTTGAATATTCAACTTGTTATGCAGAAACTGTCAGTCGCACATACATATACCTAATAGTAACACGAACTTCATAGAATTATATGGATTCGCCAATCGAGACCAGTACAAGGTCCAACGTCAAAAATAAAAATATAAATCCCCTTCTCTAGCCACAGGTAAAGTTATATAAAGCTATATAAAGCACTTAACTGCCTCGGTAGTGTAGTGGCTAGCATGTGTGGCTGCACACCCGGAGGTCCTGGGTTCGAGTCGCTGAATCAGACCAAGTTTAGTTATTGAGTCTTTCTGTATAGTAAACCTCAGTAACCACCCGGAGTTGGGAAGTTGGCGGTGTTTCACCCACTTGTCTCGGAGAGCACGTAAAGCCGTCGGTCCTGCGTTTTAACTCTCTCCGGTCGTATCAAGTAGTCGTCCCACCAAAGTATGAGAGTGACAGGAATAGAGAGTGAACTTTGGTCTGCGCGTACACTTGTGCACTATAACATCTCCTGCGCAATTGGCTAGTCTCAATGAGATTGATCGTCGTGGTCGGAACCGGTCTGGAGAACATCTATACATATAATAAAATTGTAACTAAGCCGAATCTGTACATTAAATATTTTTTAGAAAATCTTATTGAAATAGACTCTATAGTTTTTAGAATTTTTGTCTGTCTGTCTGTCTTTCTGCCTGTCTGTCTGTCTGTCTGTTACCGCATCACGGGAAAACCACTGGATAGATTGTGATGAAATTTGGTATGATGATAGCTAGTGATCCGGGTCAACATATAGGATACTTTTTACCGCGGGAAAATATCTAATTTCTGAGAAAAAATACAAAAACTGCAATGTAAGGGTATTATACTAATATGTAAAAGATAAGAATTTGGTTCTGGTCATCTGAACGCAGGCGGAGCCGCGAGCGATGCTAGTCATATATAAAACTCCATGACAGTGGACCTTAAATACTTGGATTTATTTTATTTAAATGAATGGATGGATTTAAGTGTACCTCAGCTTCGAAGCCGATTCATAACATCAAATTAAACAATAATAGGTAAATAATAAAACATTAAGAAAAAAAATAGAAATATTTTACAGTTCAATCTAGATATCTTGTTCATCCAAAAATTACCAAAACCAAAATAAGGGCATGCATTCCCAGTACAGTGCGATACGGCGTCATGATAAGCATCGGTTAGCCTAATAACCTGCCGGGCCCTTTGTCTATTGTTTACATTGGGGTGCTGTACGTGATTTTGTAAGTCACGCCGGCACCTTTACGTGGACCTCCCTGTTGTTATTTTTAAATACGTCGTCATTGGAACGAATAACGCGACAGGGTGCTTAATTAGGTTCAGATCAAAGAAATTCTGTAAAAAGTTATTATAAAAATAATTAATTATTTCCATTATTTGATGTTTTTTTCGTTTCATTTGTCGTTTTTAGTTTTATTTTGTTATATTATTTTGGAAATCCTTGAAGATATACAAGCAAATAAAATGCATTTATCATATTTCACAAACAAAAAATCCATTTTAATTTAATTACTTTATTTTATAATTACATTTTACATTCTTATCCAAAAGCTACGCAGCTAGCTTAGCGGTAATAATTAGCTTGTTTAATTCTTAAGACTGTTTAGTTTACGCACAATATATGTATATATTTTATTCTGTTTTCAAATGTTTCTAATTAATGCCATACACAAAAAGCTCACACTGTATCGTAGGGTGCGCACGCGCACGTGGCGCAGTTTAGCCTGAGCGTGAGTGGTGCGCTAATGACCCGATGTCACTCGCCCTGCGGCCGCCTCGCCGCCCGGACGTCACCGAAACCTTTGACACACCGAAATTCAAAAGATCGGCGTTTTTTTGATATTACCTTATTAAGAATCAAGGTGTAAAGCTTCCTTTTCATCAAGTTCTCGGATAAATTACTTTAACAGTTATCGCAAAGAATTGGAGTTCTCAATTATTTTGGAAACTAAAATATATTGCCATAAATTTCAAAGTTTTAATTTTTTTACGTAATAACTTTCTACCTGTAAACTTAAATAGACAGTAAATTACTCGAATTCTACTTTTCACATGTTATGATTTATATTTTATTTACCTTTCGATTTGGTATACTGACACGTCTAAGCCACATAACAAAGAATTGAATTATTTTAAAGATTTGGTAAATCACGAAAACAACGACAATTTTGTTCATATAAAGAGCTGAAAGACTACCTATTTCTATGTGACTTTTGTAGTATAAAAAATATATTTACTTAATTCAATATGCATGTAGTTTGTAAGGAAATAAACTTTATTTTAATTACATTTACATATTGATAATAATAATATATACGAGTATATTGGCACAGATTGGTTTTAATACGTGATTCATAGTTGCATCAACACGGACATCCGCTTGTTATTCCGTGAGCTTTTTGCTTTTTGTATCTTTTAATTACGCACGAATATGAGGCATGAAGATCTTTATAAGATTGGCTTGTTTTATTATAACACTACTCAGCCTGTTAAAAAATTAAGAGAGTGTAGGTATCTAAAGAAATATTTTTTTAAAGGCAGACATAATAGTACACATATCCATGAGGATTTAACTACATTTTGAAGTCCGCTGAAGTCCGCTAACCTATTTTGATCTAGCGTATTCAAAAAAAAATCTGAATATTTATATATATAAATAAATGTTATATAATTAATACAATTTTATCAAAATTTCTAAGATGTAACAAAAAATTACTGTATTTTAAGTACAGATGGAAATGTGTTACATGCATTCGCAATTTTCTACAAACATACATTTACTCTTACATATATAAAAGAGCTTATCTTTAATCTTTCTATACATATACTTATGTATATTGTAAAACATGGAAATATTTTGTAGGCGAATTATTAATTTCATTAACGTTTACTTAGTTTATTATATTTATATATTAAACTCAACACAAAATAAATATTTAATCTGTTTATTATTAAAAATTAAAAATGGTCCTAGACCTTGAAATTTGAAATATGATTAGGTCATTTCAGTTTCATATATAAAGAAAAACAGATGTTTTTTTAAAAATAAGGGATTCCTTTAATGATCTAAATCAACCTAAAATATTTGCTTTACACAAAGTCAAAAATGTTAGATTGGATAATAAGAATAAAACTCAAACGACGTCATAAAATGCTTTAATATTTTTATTAGCGATAGCAATTACAGTTGCTTTAACGTACAAAATATAAATACAGTAATTGCTATTAGTTTTCCTATAAGAATTATGACTATTTTTTACTTACCTATACATATAATAAAATTGTAACTAAGCCGAATCTGTACATTAAATATGTTTTGGAAAATCTTATTGAAATAAACATTATTATCGATACAGAGGCCGAATCTATAGTTTTTAGAATTTTTGTCTGTCTGTCTGTCTGTTACCGCATCACAGAAAAACCACTGGAGGGATTTTGATGAAATTTGGTATGGTGATAGCTGGTTCTCCGGGTCAACATATAGGATACTTTTTACCGCGGGAAAATATCTCATATCTGAGAAAAAATACAAAAACTGCAATGTAAGAGTATACTAATATGTAAAACCTAAGAATTTGGTTTTTGGTCATCTGAACGCGGGCGAAGCCGCGAGCAATGCTACGTTCTTATACTTTCGTTCAACAAAAACGGTTCCGACAAATTATCATCTATAATGTAAATAATACACAAGCGATACACTTGTTAAAACAAAAATTAACTATCTATTTATTTATTACTTTTAAAATAACTGTGGTATATAATTTTAATTTAAAAAAAGTCGCTCGCCCTGCCTTAGATCGAGTAATTATATCGAACAAGCAAAAGTCTTGAAGGAGAACATAGTCATTAACAACATTGCTCCCTACTTGTAGAAAGTAGGGTGATAAGGTGTAAAGAGGCTTTATATGATTAGGTCAAAATGTACCTTCAAGTTTTTATGTATAAAAAAAATTATATATAGGTACAAGGTACAAAGGTAAGAAGGTAAAAAAATATCACCTCATGCGCTTAACCGATTATAATTCATTAAACAACATTGTTAACGTAAATCAAAAATTAAATGGACTGATAAATAATATTAATATTCACCAATAATTTTACTATAGTATTTAAATACTCTAAGCACTTTTATCTTTAATTTATATTTAAATAGCATGTATATACAATAAATATTTCGTTTTTCATATAGATATGTCAACAAGATCAATTTATTTACTCTATGGTATAGAAACCATGTTAAAATTGCGTTTTCTCTAGATAGTTTAATTCAAGTTAGAAGATTGATTGGATCCCTGTTCCCATTAGTTGTGAGATTACGGTGATCGTGAGTAACACGGTAGCTGCCCGCGGGCGACGAGCTCTTTTAAACTTTTTTATGTTTTCGTTTAACCCTTATTTCTTTAAAAAAAAAGTTCTGTAACATCTTCTATATAGATTGTTATCTTGATATGAGTTGGTTATTTGGAATTATTATAATGCACTTCATTGATTATGTTTGAAATGTTATTTATATTCATAGTTTCTTCAATTTTTACTTTAATTTCATATTATTACGTTTTGTCATTTTCTCTACCTGACATTGACTACTATATCTAAACTCGTGGATCCAAACCCTTATGTTAACAAAAAAAAAATCTTACTATTTAACACATGGATATTTATCCCGATTATCGGCGTATTTAAGAAAAAAAGATACACAATCTCACATTAATTTATAGGATTAAAAATTAAAAACGTGCTTCAAAAATTACTGTTATTTACTAAACTTGCTAAACTTGCATAAATTACTGAAAGCTTTCACATTTTACGCCACAATAACAATTTATCATATTTACAATGAATTATAATTTATCAAAGTAAATAAACATTCTTGCCAAATCTTTTTGGCTTAAATTATTTTGACTTTTGCTTTCCGACGTTTTGAATGCTTTATCGCTATTATGGTCACGGGAGACACTCTCCTAAAAAATTAATAATGAACTTAAATATAAGTATAATAAAACTTGTATGTTATGTGTTGTATATAATGAATTGTAAAGTTACGAATATTTAATTGTAAATATAAACTCTATAGTCGTTGCAGCTATTTAGAATAATTATTATTTTATTCTATTATAATTAAAAATAAAATTCCTATATGTTCACTTTTTTATATCTTACCTTTTGTTCACATTTATCAAACTCTGCTAAAAAGTAATATGTATATATGTATATCTAATGGCAATCAATGGACTTCCTAATATTCTTAATATAAAACAAAAGCATAAAAAGCTTTCTTTATTTGTGCCTACACTATTAACATCTCCAGGTAAATTTCTAAGAATTTTAATTAATTAAAATTCTAAGAAATCTATTGTTAACTGACACGCCGGCGTGTCCGCGGTCGTGGAGGAATTAAATTGGATAAAACCACTAAAAAAGATTTTAATTGTGACTTGACTAATCAGAGTGTACTCTACACCGCAAAACCTCTCGATTCTAAGCAGTGCAATGCCTAAAGCTCTCAGATGTCTTCGCCGGAGGAACATGTACGCGCGTTGTAGGCAGCTACTTTTTAGCAGACACGAAAGTCTATTAAGTGCGAATAAGAATAATAAAATTGTTAGTCATTGTGTCTTTTGTATATAAGAATATATAATATTTATGTACTATTACAATTAATTTAAAATACGTTTAAATTCTAACTCTATTAAGTATAACAGCGTTAGAATTCTTGACTATATCAAATGTTTATATGGAAGATAAAAATGTGTAATGTGTAATACATCATAATTGATAGTAATAATATGATCGAACTAGGTACATACTATTTATATACTTGGTATATAAATTAGTGTGCCTAGGAACATAAATGTTTGTTTTCTTTTTAAATCAACAAGGTACTCTTTTTTTATCTACTTATATGTTTAGTTTTATTAAATATTCATCATATTTGTGTCTTAATTACAATCTATATTTAAAAATGTCTGTTTAAGAAGTTAAACTCTTATAAGAACAGGTTTCACAGAACAGCCTCATTAAAATCTAATTAACTCGAGAATCCATATCAAGATTCATTGCACATGCCTCTGCGCAAATCGTCGCACTTCAAACCGACGCACTCAACTATATCAATGTATCAATAACTGTCATTACATTCGTAACGATACTATCGTCTCTTTTACACAAACTAAGGTAATTACAACGTTACTTACGTCCCTTTCAAACTCATTAATCCAATGCAATATCCGTAGAGCACTTAGCATTCTGTTCCTCTCTTACAGAAACAAAACATAGAGACATCTATCCGTCTCGCTCGAACTCATTTGGTTACCGAAAATTAAAGTTTAAATTTTCATTTAAATTGGAATCACAAATTTCGGTTGACACGTAGAAAGTGTTCAAAACGGTTTTGAAGTTGGAAGTTCACATCGGGACTTGTTAAAGCTTCGTTTTTGGTAAAAAAATAAAAGGAGCGCGCGGGAAAGAGAGGCGAGTGGAGGCTTTATAGTCGTTGTCCCGATGCGCTCGCGCACGGAAGTATCGGGCTTCAGGATCGTTCTTAATCTCATTCTAATAAAAAGCTTACGCACATATTGACGCGTTGTAATCAGTTTTTAATAGAAATAATTTTTTTTGTGCGCTTCGGTGTGAAGCTGTATAAATTATGTTAGGCACGTGTTCTTTATCGGTTTTATGGCTATATGATAATAATTTGTGAAGTTTTATGAATAGGGTTGTTATTGAGCAATCATTGAGACTTCTTCTTTCATACTGTGTGGTCGTGGATTTTTTATTATTTTATTCCTATTGGAAATGGAATATAATTAGATTTGTGTAGTGATTTGGTTTTACTGTTTAATTGTTGTAGTGTTCAAGATGTTCTTAAGGTAAGATTTTACTTAAATGTTATATTTAAACATTTTATTTTATTATTTTTATTTCTTTACAGTATTAAATAATATTGATTATAAATAATACTAGATTATACTTAAAATACAAAAAAAATACAATTTGTTTTTTTATGTTTTAAGTATATAATATAAATAGGTATTATTTAAAAATATTTATTATATTTATTTATTATACCTAATTTAACAATAAATAAATTAATTAAAAAATATCATAAATATCTAATATTGATGTACAGTTAAGTAATATTACTAACATTTTGTTACTTAAGATACTTAATAATATTTATTCATATAAAGCTTAACTGTATACTTACTCTATAAAATTTTACTTAAGAGTTTAAGTAACTAACTTTACTAAACAAATTGTTTTTAGTTAATCTAATCTATACATATAATAAAACTCTTAGTCAGCTCTGAACATTAAATATTTTTTGGAAAATGTTATTGAAATATGTAGTCATTATTATCGATACAGAGGCCGATACGAGAAACCTGCACTGAACCGATTTTAATGAAATTTGATATGATGATAGACAGTTATCCGGGTCAATATACAGGATACTTATTACTGCGGGAAAATATCTCATCTCTGAGAAATCTACATATACTAAATGTTAAAACGTAACTAGGGACGAACCCGACCGAAGCAAGGGTGATTCGCTAGTTTACAGAATATCCTTATTGCCTTACAGTACTTAAATGCTAATAGGTTTGTACACTAACAAGTTGTCCTTTATTTAAATATCGGAAGTGTATGCTTAATATATAAATAAATAGGCAAAGTCAAAAAATTCTGTAGCTTTTAATATGTTTATCAACTGAATTTCTATTTTTTTATTTAATATTAATTAACGAGCTTCAGTGATATCGTTAAAAAATGGAAACAATTTTTTTTATATACATACTTAAACTCTATTCATATATTACGTTTTATGATAATGTTTTATAATAATGATTATGGTATGGTCTTATCTTGACCACTTCGCGAACATTAGTATAACTAATATATAACAATATTATAGCCATCAGTTTTTTTCTCATCTAAAAATGGTTATTAGATTCATCGATCGCAGCGAATTATATTAGAAATCGAGTATTTCTACAATAACATTTAAATAATAGTTTTATTAAATAATTGTTATATTAAATAATACCAGTCAGAATTTTACCATCCACTTACCCGGACTATATGACTTTTTCTTTATGTAATCTTCTACATATTTGGGTGAAATGTTAAATGACTAGGTTATTGATAGTAATTACATTTCTTCAAATATTGTCATAAGCTTTATGCTAATAAAGCTACTACCGAAATCATTTCATTTCATCCATTAAAGTTTTACAAGCACTTTTAAATTTAAAAAGAGCTTTCCCCTTTATAATTCTTATAAAATTAAATAGAAAACCTTTACTAGATGTACGGATACATCCATTAGGATAGAGAATGTAGAGTCCATTCCCATGCTAAGATTAAAATTCATCAATTGATGTTTTAACATATTATATAACGAATTTCATAAAATTTAATTAGTATAGGTACTGATATAGTTGAAAAATAATTAAATACTATTAAAATAAAAGTAAAAAGTAATCAAACCACATAGTATAGAAATATAGTAATGTTTCATTGAATTAGGCCAGAAATATAAATATATATATTTCGATCTGACTTACACCAAGTTTTAATAACCTATCTATCTGGAGTGTTCCTCATTAGAGATAACATTTTGACATAAGCTCCATACAATTTAAGACGAATTCCTATAACTCTTATTACAGATAGATAAGTTATTGAGATCTGCTGTTAAAATATATAAAAATAACGAAATTTTTATATTAAAGTCAAACATCTATCTCTGGCTGACAGAACACTCAGTAGATAACCTATCAATTATAATCTCTTCAATTTTATTAACAATATCAAATTCTGAATAACTACATAACTCCATTAGTACGTAAAAATGAGTATAACCGCTGAAAATCAGTTTCATTGTTACTTAAGTGCTAAGTGAGTAAATATTCTACGACACGATTCCTTCAAACCATTTTGACTTTAAATACAAGACATTAAATACTAAATTCCTCCACATATTATATGTTGGTTGTTAAGCAAAAGACGTACGTATCCTTGTATCAAAATAAATACTAGATACTAAGTATTACGTAGCCGTATTATTGCTTTATTTATGTTTTCAACTCAAAGTGATCTCTTTAAAATATGATTTTCTTTTTATGTAATGTCACTGAATAAATATATCTTAATATAAATGTCTTTATCTATTTTAATGCTAATTATGTTAGAAAAATTTATTTAAATAGGCGTAGGCGCAAGCTTTAAAAACTCGTTCCTTGAACGGAAATAACTTTTAATATATTTATTACTATTAATATATATATGTAGTTATAAATACCTATTTAGTTAAGCAAATAAGTAAAAAATTCCAGAAACCGACATTTTAAAAACTATAAATTTATGTAAAATAGCAATTTCTTGAAATAACTTTGTTTTGTTTTTTAAATTTTCAAAATTATGTTACTTACATAGTAACTTAAGTATTATTTATATGAAAATATAGTTATTTAATACAGAAATTCCATAATTAGTTTTCTTTTTCATAATCTTGATCAAGTATTTTTTTATTTGCTATTTGTTTAATGGATGATATAGAGTTATATTTAAGTTCAAAATAAATATCGGTTGTGCAATAAAATAGTCAACAATAAATCTAGGAAGTACAACAAGAGACCAACAAAAAATTATGAAAGTAAACATCCGATTATATCTACTACACTGTTGTAGCTATGATGGACGTCGATAGAGAGCGATCGGACGGATAAAATATTTCGATCGTCATTATGTCAAACTGCGCCGGCCTTAGACGGAATTATCGTATGTAATCAAGTAATCACGTCAATTGTACTGAGGAAATGGTCGAAACTATCGGCTTCATAGAACATCCCAGTCGGTATCGATAGATTGGTGTTTTTTTTTGGTACTTTTTACATCTGTTCTTGTTCGTTCAGTGTATTTCTGTATACATAATGAAAGCTATATTATATCCTAAATTTTTCGGTTAACATTAGTATTGTCTGACATTATTTTATTATTTACTAACTCGAGTGCGTCCCTATGTGCCTTTTTTATTTTTATTATTACATAAAGGTAGCGCCACCTTGTAGCAGCTTTTAACACTAGCAGTATCTAATTTTTGTCTTCGAGTAAAAGTTTACATGAGATTACAAAAGAGGGATAATAAAATTATATCAAATTCGTACACTCATATGGTCCGGTTAAAGCATGTACCTACTTATACGATAACCCTATATAAAATAGTTTATTAAAAAAATATATAACAAAACCATTTTGAGTAAAATTCAAGGATTATGAGCTTAGACTTCCCGCAAGATATCAGATTATTGCAAATATTTACTAAGGAAATATACCAGAGTAAAGGGAAAGCGTGTCACTAACACTTAATAATTCATTCTTACAATTTAACATTCCGAAAGACCCATTTAAACGCGTGCTTTAACCCGTTAAGCACAAGCTAATGTATCAGGGAATTTACACGGTTGACGCGGGGCAGCGTGAAATGCCCACGTTTCATGGCAGCTATGTGAGAAATGTCCACTTTTTATACGCGTAAAAGGTAATACGTCGATCTTTGAACTTCATTCAAATGATTATAAGATAAATTCTTTGGGATTCTAGAAATGTAATTTAAATTTTACTAGCGACTCACCCTCGCTTCACTCGATCTCGTCCCTAGGTACATTTTAACTGTTAGTATGGAATACATATACTATATATGACGTATTATATAATATATAGTCTGTGTAGCCTTTCTCAATAAATGAGCTATCTAATACAAAAAGAATTTTTCAAATCCGATAATTAGTTCCTGAGATTAGCGTGTTCAAACAAACAAATAAATAAGCTTTGCCTCTTTATAATATTAGTATACCTAGATGATATAAAGTTTTCATTATTACAAGTGACAATATTCATAGATCTTGTTATAATAATAGATATTATGTATGAAATATTGAGATCCGCATTGGCCAAATTATTAATTAAAATGTCTTAGGTACAAACTAAACAGCAAAGGTCAAACTACTGTTTGATATTTACTAATTGCTAAACATATTTATATAGGTAATTTAAATTAAAGGATTTTTAGTACAAATGACCCTAATAACTGTGCTTACTCCCAAGATGATAATACAATATACATATTATATATTTATTTCCTACATTTTAATGTTTGGACTTATCAAGAATATAATTATAATAAACAATTTATAATTTTTATATTAACATATGATTATTACAATCTCCTTAGAACCTTCGTCACAGATAATTGATTAATATTAAACATAGTTGCAGTAGGTACCTCACTATTTTTAAACAACATATTGTAGAAAGTCCAAATTCTTTTTCATTTGTAAAGACAATAGTTTTCAATACACATCAAGCCATAACATAAAGTCTCGTGGATATTTCTGTATAATATAAAAGCTCTAAAAATACATATTTTTTTAACACTTCATACTTTTTTTCATAATTAATCGATGACAAAAGATAGAAAGTTTTCTTTACAAAATGGTATATCAAAGAAAACCTGCGATGCGATATTACAATAATTACAATAACCACTACTGTCGAAGCTTTTAAACTCCCATAAAGCTTATCACCGGCGTCTTAACCATCGTTGCTAGTTGTTTTGGACCTCAAAACAAACATCCAATTCAATCAAATTAATAAAACGACGGGGGCACCAATCATTTATTTCAACAATCGTCCAAAACGCCGAATAAAACGTAATAAAACTTAATGGTTACAAAAAGGACTCCCTAGCGAGATAAAACGTACCGCAATGTGCTTTGGTGAATGTTAACATACGGGATAGCTACTTCCTTTACTATTCAAAATATATATTTTTATGCTATAAATTTTTTAAGGTTTCTCTAATAAAGATGTATAATGTATTGTAGTGATATTGTTAGGTTATTATTTGATTTTAATCAGATATTGTAATTAATTATTTGGGTATTGTGTACACGACAGTTTAAAAGATAAACTAGTTATTGTCTATTATTGTTATATATTATTGGCTTTGTCTCCATCCCTATGATGCAATCTATGTTCTTCAATGATTTTTTATCGAAATCTGTTCAGCCGCTTGAAGTTCTAAATATAAAAAATAAACAGACAGACAGTTAATTTCATGTTACATTATTGAAATGCTTAAATAAAATTGAAATAATTAATACCACAACTGATTAAAATTTTCATAAAAAAATGATTCCTTTGGTACTTATTACTTGCCTAGCGGTTTTTTGTTTCGGTGCCTCCGTAGTTGCCTAATAGTAGGCTATATTCTACTTCAGGTAAGTCTATATATGTTCTAAATTCATTCAAATTCGCCGAGTCGTTTCAGCGTGGAGTAATAAGCAGACATACATACAAACTTATGCAAATATATAGTAGTCCTAACATTTAAATAAATCTGCTTTACGGCAATCATGGTCACGGGAGAGACCAATTAAAACGTCGGGAACCAAAAATCAAAATAAATCCGAAAACATAGTTTTATTTAAAATGTTAAATATTCGCGTAAATGTAAGAAAGTGTTAACAGGCCAATATCCAGGAAAAATAGTTTTTTTTTTATAAATATAAGGCTAGTATAAGTTTTTTATAAATATAAGGCTATAAAATAAAAGGCTTTTTAGGCCATCTCTATCTTTTTAGAATATTTACTTTTTAGAATCTCTATTGTTTTAGAATATTGCCTAAATCTAGGTTTCTCAGAGTTTATGCAGGGCCTAAGAGAAGCTCAGTTTGCAAATTATATAATAACTAGCATTGCCCGCGGCTCCGCCCACTTCAGATAACCAAAAACGAAATTCTTAGGTTTTACATATTAGTATACTCTTACATTGCAGTTTTTGTATTTTTTCTCAGAAATGTGAGATTTTCCCGCGGTAAAAAGTATCCTATATGTTGACCCGGATAACCAGCTATCACCATACCAAATTTCATCAAAATCCAGTGGTTTTTCTGTGATGCGGTAACAGACAGACAGACAAAAATTCTAAAAACTATAGATTCGGCCTCTGTATCGATAATAATGTTCATTTAAATAAGATTTTCCAAAAAAATATTTCATGTACTGATTCGGCTTAGTTACAATTTTATTATATGTATAGACAATATCATAAACAAATGAAAACACTTGACACAACAACTCAAAGTATTATAAATGTACAATCGCACGCCATGCAAATCCGCAGATATTATCTACGATTACAGAAATGAATGAAAATCACTCTCATTGCGTATTCTCGAGAAGGATATAGGAAAAGAAATTGTTTGCATTTAAAATGAAGTGATAGAATTTGCATCACAATAAACATCTTAAGGTAAGGCAATAAATCTATGAGTCCTTTCCGGCGGCGCTATTACAACTATTCTAATGGTTTGCGCGTTATGTTAATATGCCTGTACCATGCCGACATACACCTGTCCGGAACACAGTATCCGCGCATTGTCTATGATCCTAGAATCATTTATGCTTTTTAAGTTCCTAGAGAATTTTTCCGCTTCTAATAAATTTTAATGCTTAAGATGATAATTTATAAATGTGATAATTGTAGATTTTTAACGAAATTTATTTATTTAGCATCTTAAAAATACAAACTTAATTTAATCTCTCTCTCTCTCTCTTCATTGTATATATAATATTGTATAAAATATCTATTTATTCTGTACTGGTGTTCGTCTAGTAAGCGAAATTCAATCATAATCAATACTGAAAATTTGAGGAAAACATATGCACATAAATATAACTTAATAAAATTATGTACCTATCTATATAAAAACAACAAACTGTTTCCAAAAAAAAATTATTAACAAAACTAAAGCTAGTTAATCAACAAAAAAGTTATTTAATAAGTTAGTGAATAAATAAACAAAAAAGCTACTAAGCAAAAAAAAAGTGGACTAACAGAGGAGAAAAAGGTACTGAATTGTTTTGTATTTGCGTTTTTATATAAAGATATAATAACGGAATATATATATATATATATATATATATATATATATATATATATATATATATATATATATATCGTATTAATTTTATAAACAACAAAGTTCCTCAAATTAACATTCTTACTAATATGTACCAAATATAGTAGAGAAGAAAAGTTAGTACAATATATCGCAATTGTCATTTAGAAAATATTTACCAACATATAATCAACATTAAACATTTAAAACTGCAATTACAAGTAACTTTACTTCATTTTGTTACCAGGTTCGAGCCCACAAAGTCGACGAAAGGCGCCAGCAAGATGCGCCGCGATCTCATCAACGCAGAGATATCTAACCTCAGAGACTTGCTCCCTCTACCCCCGTCGACTAGACAGAGGTTATCGCAGCTACAGTTGATGGCCCTCGTGTGTGTTTATGTGAGGAAAATGAATTATTTTCAGCAAGGTAAGCTATACTTAATGTAATGTCAGATAATTTAAAGCTTCAAGTAATCCCTTTTCTAATTAAAACTTCCTGAATGAATGATAAAAAATAATTTATGAATCTATCTTAAGCCAATTAGAGTATTAAGGCTTAGAGAAAAATTCTTATATGTATTTATAATTCCAAAGTACGTTTCTTATGAGTAAAAATCATCATAATAAGTAATATATTCAAATAATCACTTTGTACGAGTGAATGAAGTTACTCATACCACAGATCATATGATGTCAGGAGATATTATAGATAATACAAGTGTACGCGCAGACACAAGTGCACTCTCTATTCCTGTCACTCATACTCCGGTGGGACGACTGCTCGACACGACCAATGAGAGTTAAGGCGCAGGACGGCTTTACGTGCTCTCCGAGGATCCTCCGAGGCTTCCGAGGACTGTACAGAGACTCAATAACTAAGCTTGGCCCGACCCAGGACTCGAACCCAGGACCTCCGAGGGTGCAGCCGTATATGCTAGCCACTACACCACCGAGGCAGTTAGTTTGACACAGATCATATCATACTATACTCTCATATTTAACAAATAACAAACCATTTTAACCGAGTAAAATTCGCTTCACAGTTTCCCATGCTCCGAATCTTTGGCTAAGCTCATCACGTAAATTGTTATCCTAAATCTCGACCATGTTTTGAAAACGTCCCCAAACTTTTTGTTTCACCTTCAGTCACGAAACGACGTATTAAGACGTTTAAAATGCATTTAGTTCGCTATCTTATCTCCCATTGCTATAACTTCACCCATAATTCCGTCTTTCTTTCTGTTTTAGTGTTCAAAAGTCACGATTTCAGTTATCAGTACCAAGAGCAAGCAACTCCTACACCTAATATTGGATTTTCAAAGGTATTTTTTTTTCAAGTTTACGACTGTTACCGTGAAACTATTAAATCGGTAGTGACACTTACAATGTCGTTTTCAGGCAATGAACGGTTTTATGATGATGATGACACAGAACGGCAAGCTGTTGTATATATCGGAAAATGCAGCGGAATATTTAGGGCATTCGATGGTATGTATGGAAATCAAGTAATTTTTTTTTGTACATTCAACAGTTTTAATTAATCTATACATATAATAAAATTTTAACCCGAATCTGCTTAACTTGTTGCAGAGTACCGTTAAATCGATTCTCAAAAACTGTTTTTTTATTCTTTAAATACCTGCCTATAATGATTATTTCTAAGATATCAAACTTAATTAACACAGTAATTGTCAAAATTTCATTACATTAATTTAATGTAAATGAAAAATAATTATTAAACATATATTATATATTAATAATAGTACGTTTTTATCTTCTCCTTTTTATTTTAGGAGGATCTTCTAATACACGGAGACAGCGTTTATGATATAATAGACAGACAAGACCATCAAATGGTGCAATTAGAACTAAATAAAGGCTGCAACGGAGAGACTGAAAACATACCAAAGACTAGGCATTTCTTTTGTAGGATGAACGTGTCTAGAAATGCTAGACGGCAAATGAGATTTGGTGACCAAAAAGTAAGTATAAAATTATTATTTTTAAAATACAGCTGCTGCGGCTATAGACTTTGAAAAACATTTGCAAGATGTCACGTGAAGTCGTTAAATAAGGACAACCTAACAGACACACAATCATGTATAAAATCTATACTAAAGATCATTTAGTAAAAATATCATTCGAAACTAACAAATTTTGCTTTTCTCAGGTAGTATTAGTAAGGGGCCATTACGTGTCGTATTTACCATTGTGCAGTAGAAATGAACCAGTGTTCCTAGCATCATGCACTCCCCTGGCTATGCCTGAGACAAGAGAATGCGTAGTTCATGGCGCCACTAACGTGTTTACGACTATACATGCAATGGACATGAAAATTTTACATATAGATGCTAAGTAAGTTTTACAATAATATTTGAACTTCTAATTTGAAAATACTACATACAAAAATATTTATTATTATTTGAAGGGACAAAAAATATTTTTATAATTTCTGTTGATATAATACTAATGTTTAATATTATTTTTAGTGGTGAATGGTATTTAGGCTGGAAGAAAACAGATTTAGCAGATGTATCATGGTACCAAATTCTTCATTGGGAAAGCTTACGAGAAGCTCAAACTAAACATAAATTAAGTAAGTTCCTCTTATGATTTTTAAAACTTTTGTTCAAAATTATGCATGAGATTTTCAAAACAAAACAAATTAGAATAACAAACATATAGGTTACTAGCATTGCCCGCGGCTCCGCCTGCGTTCAGATGACCAAAAACTAAATTCTTAGGTTTTACATATTAGTATAATCTTACATTGCAGTTTTTGTAATTTTTCTCAAAAATGAGATTTTTTTCCGCAGTAAAAAGTATCCTATATGTTGACCCGGATAACCAACTATCACTATACTAAATTTCATCGAAATCCATTCAGTGGTTTTACTGTGATGCGGTAACAGACAGACAAACAGACAAAAATTCTAAAAACTATTGATTCGGCCTCTGTATCGATAATAATGTTTATTTCAATAAGATTTTCCAAAAAATATTCAATTTTCAGACTCGGCTTAGTTAAAATTTTATTATATGTATAGATTATGTTATTAATTAAGTACGTTTTTATTTGGAAAAATCAAAATCCATACTTTATTTATTCAAAGTTATGTCCCGTTCCTTAATATTCCAAACCAATTCGTATTGCATTCAGTTAGATGTAACACAAAAAGAATAAAAATGACTTAATACAGTAACTTCATTAAATAACATTAGATACGTAACTGTATCCTAGTCTAATTACCATATTGGTATACAAATCACGTGTAAAGCAGAAGCAAAGAGTGTTTACGCGCTAAATTGCTATGCTGATTCTTTGAGGAAGCTAATTATTTGTATCTGAGCTCGATAAATAATCGATTTGAAGATTTATCTGTAACATTTCTATATTTCATTTTTCTTTATAAGTAACATTATCCTAACTTAATATTACAAAAAGGATGGTTTGTTGGTTTGTCGTTATTTTACACGGCAATAAAAACAGGGCAGCGATAGTAGTGAAGAGATACGTCTCGTTCATTTCATCGATCATACTCTGCTTACACCTTTGTATAGAACTGGAATTGAGTCCCGGATCGAGACAAGTATTATAATTATAGGTTCTGTCAAGAAAATCTCAATAACTTGAAGTTAGGTATTGAACGGTATTTGTGCCTCGAAGAAATTGCCTTGTCTTAGTGAGATAGGCTGACGTGATGACATTTTTGTTACTAAAATTCACAGAAATCACTTGAAATAAAATCATTAATGCAAAAAAATCACATATCGAATGGTTGCTCCATTGCTACGTAAGAGACAAACAAACATACCTTCAGATTTATAATATTAAGTAGTAAAAATTAAATGTTTCTAGAACTCTATTTTTTTCAAATATTTACATAGAAAATTTCATTTCAGTAACTCAATCAGATCAAGATAAATGCTGTATTCTTCTTGTAAAACTTCAACAAAGAAGCGGACAGTTCTTATGGGTGCATGTTGTTTTACAAGTAAAGGATGCTGCTGATACGCCAAGACAATTTATCGTTGCTACAAATCAGGTTTTAAGGTATACTTATACATATATTATTCTCTTCAGAACTATCACTTTAAAATAATGTTTCTATCTGTCCAAAAAAAATCCAAAAAAAAAACATATTTTTTTATTAGTAAATAACTAGCATTTGAAGTATTCACAAGCCATCCTTTACCTATGTAGTGTAGAAATCAATAAATACAAGTTGCAATTCACGTCGTGTGGACATTGAATTCACTATCTCTGGTGACCTATTGAATGTTATAGATAGTGAATTGGATAGACCTAGACCACTAGACCCGCCCTTGCTATGCTTTGGCCCTCTTACTCCATGTAAAAAAGCTAATAAAATTTCCTCTGTGCCTACCCTTCTTGAGATAAGTATAACCTATGTTACCTTTGACCTATGCTTCTATACTCCTTACCTTCCAAAAAGTCCAAAATATTTATTCCGAAAGAACTTTTTTTCTTCACCTGTACAAAACGTAACCCATTTCGTTTCACCCAAGCTTCCACTAGTAAAATTTATGTAAAAGACATTTTCCGTTCCGACACTTGCCGTCTCGAATATTAGTAGCCACGTTTTTAAAGGGTGTTTTGATTTTGCCATCATTTAAATATGACATCATATGAATTCAATACATCATAGCTTTTCAAAAGTTCAAATTTATTCATGATAATAGTGAATTAAATTTTAATTAACTGAATATATATATATTATTATCCTACAGTGAGGAAGAAGCATCAATAATGCTCGCAAACTCTTGGTTATACCAATACTATGGATACCAGAACCAGCCTTGTGGCATGTTAGATCCTCGATGTCAAAAGTTTTTCCGACGAGAGCCAATTTATCCTGACCCCTACCAAGAATACCAATATGTAGAGAATTCAGAGATCGATTACACTGGTTACCAAATGACACAATATATTCAAAAAACAGACGAGTATGGATGCGAGAGAGTTTACACGGAGAGAGGACCAGTCGATTATTCTACACATTCGCCACAATCTACGATAAGTGAAGAAAGGTGAGTGATATTTATTATTAAAATCTTCTTATTATTTAATAAATATGAAGACATAGTTCTGATCGTGATTAATGTTAACTACAAAATACGTGTTTATTACACTTTCTTTTTAGATATAAATATAAATTCAATCATGCAAATAGCATCCTTTTGATGGTGGTGACTTAGGCCTCATAAATATATTTCTTAAAAGAAGTTTATTTTTTTAAATTAAAAAGTTCTTATTTTCCTATTAAACTGATATTGACTAAAAAAATGTTGCCTATACAAATATTCAAGAACAAGCTACCTGTTCGATTAAAAACTGGACGCCGAGCGCCGCAGGCAAGAGCTAGTTTTAAAAAACACGTAGTTCTTAAATTACTCGACCCAATATAGAATACCTATTCAAAATAACGTATTTAATTTTATAAGGTCAAGTTGGAAACGTCCGTCAAAACTATTACTGAAGTGAACATTGAGTTTCGACTTAAGACCTTTTTCTATAGAACTTATCGTATTTGGTTAACGTGGACAACTTTAAACTTTACGTATAGTTGAAAATTAATTCGATGATAAATCTTATTCCATTGAAATAAGGTTTACCATTCATAATTTGTTGGTAAATTGAATTTTGTGATGGCAACTTCACAATAAATATGGTAATGAAAGGTGTCAAATTACGCGGATGGACAGACGGACGGACAGGGTGATGATTTTCTTATTTATATTCCCTCGCTGTGACATGACGAATACAAATTGTATGATGTGACCTTGTGTGTTTGTTTTTTCATAATTTAAGATCATTGGATATAGTTTTGTAAAAAAATATTTTTATCATATTTATTATCGAAAATTGTTGTATGTAACAACATTTTCATTCTACTGTATTTATTAATCTATAAGTTTAGACTTATAGATCACAATTAGGTATAATATCAAATTAATATTATATAAAATATTTAATCTTATATTTTAACTTTTTTCTATTTATTGACGTATACTATGTACAGCATGGACCAAGCCGTGGGCAAAATCTAATTTTCTACTGTATCTTAAGATATTTTAATAATTAAATATTATTTTAAGGTCACCCCTACACTACGACGCTCCAGATATAGTGGTCAACAGCAATATGTACATGTACCCTATGCACGGCAAGCGGGAATACTATGAGCAGTATCCTCATGTAAATTATAATATACAAGAACCATGTTCGAGTCTTGATGGTGAGCATTATATATTTTTAAATAATTTTGTATAAACCGCCACAATTCACTGCGATTTTTTATCATTTTGAACTAAACTCTTTGCTACTTTATAGATTGTAAATGATATTACATAAAACAATATTATGTAACTTACAATTAAACCTATACCTATATACTTATATTATAATCCCGAGTTTTGTTTGTTTGTACCATTGCCATATTGAAAACTCCTATAACCTAATTTTTGGAAACGAATAGGATTATTACGAGTATATATAAATAAGCTAAAACCGTATATAATTTTATAATTTTAATTGTATATTGAGTATTTCATTGTATAATTTTCCTATTACAAGCATACTGAAAATATTAATAGTAAAAAGCTCAATGATTAGATTTAATTTCAGAACATTCAGTTAAGCTTATAACAATTATCTACATTTAGTGTTTTATATCTTAACTTTGAAAGTGTTTTAAAAATATATTTTTATTTTTTTAAGTAACTATTTGGCAGAGAATGACGTCATTATCGATGTACTAAAACAAGTGTTAAATGTTATATTACGCCATAAAAATTCATAATCTATTTTATTGGCAAATCGTGTATTAGCAGTATTTTATAGAAAAAATATTTTTAAATTATTTCCTAAATATATAGTAAAATAATATCTATTATATTATTTTTATGATGTGAAACAGGTGTTTTACCATGTTTTTTACTATTGTTTCTGTTTTGTCGATATTTTGACACTACCGGAAGTGTCATGGCAATGAGTGCACAAGCAATAGTAAAAATAGTAAAAAAGTCCTTTTCTTTAAGAAAAAATATTAATTTATAATAACTATCGACGATTAATAATTTACTATATGCTTGATTTGCTTCACCCAGGTATTGAATATCCTTCCGCCAAAAGAATGAGGGTAGGACCAGCACCACTGAGCATAGAGGGGACAGACGGGATGGACCGATGGAACCCCAGTCCTCCCTGGTCGGACACCCTCAAAATGAACGACTACAGTCAAAGATTCACTTACAACATGTTACCTATACCTGAAAGGGCTATGGTCACTTAAATATTATTTATGTTTAAGCTAGAATAATTAATTTAAAAGGCTAGATTGTGCAATATGTGTTTGTGCAATTTCTTTGTAATATTTTTGATATTTTGTAATTTGATTTACTTGTTCCATTGTAAATAACTAATAGTAAATAAAAAGCTTTTCTGAGTGTTTATTTTGCATATTTCCATAAGTATGTATTTTTTTAGTTTCGGTTTCATGAAACATTCCAAAACGTATTTATATTTAATTATTAAAATTGAAAAAAAAACAATTTTCTTAGAAGAAAAGCAAGAATTACTATTAGATTAGACATGTTTTCTATTTATGAATTTATGAAGTTTGTTTGTTTGTTTAAAATTACTTTTTAAAGCTCAATTTACTTAAAAATGTTTCAGTATTTTAATTTAAGCGTTGTAAGTATTATGTCATATATATATAAGTAATATTAGAGTAATGGGAAACATTTCCGTCCAAATACACTTTTCTACATTCCAAAGGAATTAATTATTTAGTAATAAGGTTTTATATAAGAAATATATTTTTGTAAATATTTATATGTAAATTATTTTTGTGTACAGAACTCCTTTATTGTACGTTAGATTAAGTTATGAAATAAAGTTTTTTGTTTCAAATATTCTGCATCTGTTTATTACAAGCCTTTAATATGAGTACATCAAAATTAATTCGTTTTAACATATCTCGGCATATACGTATAGTCTGTATGGCTTAATTTGTAGCGAGATTTTATAAGCTAATATGACCTAAAGGCTTACATCTTCATTCATATTCTCTAAGCCACTATGTGATCAAAGGTTTAAAGCCATCCAATAGTCGATTAACGTATTCTAACAAGTTTCTTGAAACTGTTAAAACACTAAGATTTACATTTCGAGGTCGAATATCAAACTTCTTATTAATGCTTAATAAAGGTAATTCTAAGAAAGCCTACGCAACACTATTTAATTTTCACAAATTGCTTAGAAATGTTAGTGGGGTTGAAAATCGCGTAGATCAAGTTATGATGGTGGCGCTTAAGGTGTCAAATTTACAAAAGCTGTATCCCGCGCGGTTGTGGTACAATATATAAGCTTTTTAGGATACTAAAGCTGATATATATTATCTTTATTTTTAATTGATAAAATTCTATTCATAATTTTTGATACATTTTTAATTATATATATATTATTAATAACATAACTTTCAAAATGCATTACAGCAATAAAGCTTCATGATTACTGTAAAGCGGTCTAACTAAATATCAAAAGAAATCTGAAAAAAAAACGGGACAAAATTTAAATAAAAAACTATTTTATTTAAATTTTCTATAATCACGTAAATCTAAGAATATAATATATATATTAGCAGCCTTGTTAATTTACATTTTATTATGGTTAGTAGGGTATAGATAGAACTTATATTATATGATATATAGCCTGTAATAGTATTCCTCAATAAACGGGCTATCTAATGCAAAAAGAAATTTTCAAATCGGATTAGTAGTTCCTGAGATTAGCGCGTTCAAACAAACAAATAAACAAACAAACTCTGCCTCTTTATAACATTAGTATAGATTCATGTTAAATTATTGCAAATTCGAAGACGTCATATAAAGGTAATAAACAATGTACAAGTGTATGTGCATTACATTTCATTAAATTCCTTTCATTCTCAACGTCCGTTCGGACGAAAATCACATGGGCGACTAAAGATCAGCACAAGACCGACGGCTGTGTGTGCTGTCTGAGTTACGTTGGTGTAACACTACGGTGTATCAATATTCATTAATATTTATATTTTATCGCTAGTCGCTTATGACACATAACTATTTATCGCTAACTCTGGCTTAGACATTACTATTGCGAACTTGTCCACCTGAACGCAACTATGATGAATTATTGATGCAATACTACGTGATCCGTACGACACCGTGGATTAAATGTAATGGGGCTCAATAAATGATATCACATGACAAAAAATAAGAAAAAAAGTATTTTTTACGCATATAGGCAATGTATTTTATTCATATATTTAAAACTATGATATTTAGATAGCTTGACTTTAAACGATTAGTTGGAAATTGTTACGGAATATACAATTTTTGTACCGTATTATAATAGATATTGGATGTCCGATGTCGTTAACATGTTCATTTCTAGAATCTATAATGATTACTGCACTCTAATATAAATGATATTATACTATAATGATCGTCTTAAAATTTAATAATATTAAATAATATAAAATAATTTTAACTACATTGTTTTTATTTTATTTTATAAGAATTTGTAAATAAAAATTAAGAAACCTAGTGTTGAAATAAATATTAATGGAACTTTTAGCACGAGCTTTTGACCTCCACTTTCGAACAAGTGAGAAATATAAAAAAAAATACTTTTAAAACATCATTCATAATCCATACATAGAAAAAACATAATTTTGTCATTTAAAAAATATATTTACAATTATTAAGAATGCTATGGAATTAAATACAAATGTAGTGCAACTTAATTTATCTACGACCGATTCACTAACATTCTTAAATCTTTCTCCTATCTTAGCTTCTAGTAAAGTTAAAGACAAAATATAGCTTGCTTCATACTGCATACCGTCATCCAGATGTTTGAAAAGCATCGAAGCGGTTCGCATTAGCTCAACTCGTTAACAGAAAACAAATTAATAAATTATACTCCCTTGATCGCTGGCTCCGTGGGAAAAGTAACTTAATTTATTTATATTATTTATCTAGGCTATGCAAGACGTGTATGGTTTTAATTGAGACAATTATAATTTGTTTGTGATGAATATTTTGCTTCATATATATTTTGTAGATGCCATTCTTATATAGTTATTAGAATTTCTAATTAATTTTACTGTTCTATATATAATATTAACTAGCCGTTAGATTGGCTATGTGCAGATTTTAACGTTAATGAGAACTACCAAATTACAGTATTATATACACAAAGAAATACAGGTACTTTTTTAATCAAACTTTGTAAAAAAATATATTTGTTGTGGCAGTAGGGGTAGTAGGGGGCAAACAAGCAAACGATGGTAAGTCGATGGACTGAATTTTTGTCAAAGTTTACATTATTACATTGTTAAAGTACTCTTAATATAGTGACTTATATTTCATCACTAACCTTATTTTTTATTTTTATACTAAAATATAATTATTTTTTTTGGTAGTGAAAGAAATTTAACTAATTTTGAAAATCGAAATTAAACCTGTTAAAATCAATGTAAATCAAAAAATAAATCTTACGTGCTGTGTTATGAGGAGCATGGTAAAGAAAAAAGGCGTAATATTTATAATTGCCATTGTTAATAATTGCCCTTATTTTATACTAGCGGCTCACCCTCGCTTCGCTCGGGTTCACCTCTAGGGAAATAAAAACAAACCTATCCCACAGAAACCGTACATTTTTCAAGAATAAAGAATAGCCTATGTGTTATTCCAGACTACATATAATCTATCTCTGTGTCAAATTTCATCCAGATCCGTTCAGCCGTTCTGGCGTGAAAGTGTAACAAACATCCATACATACTCACAAACTTTCACATTTATAATATTAATACGGATAAAAATTAATCACACTCTTTTAGAGCTTTTACCATAGATTATAGGTAAATTTATTATATAAAAATCGCACATGTAAAATAAACAAAAAAATTTAGAATATGCAAAAAATCTTCATAACAACAACATACCTAACTGTAACGTATGTAATTTAATTAAAATTGTAACTATTAACCAAAAAATCTACACTTATACATACCTTAATATTAAAATTAAGTTTTAAATATACAAATATAGATTTATTAACTTTAAAAGTAATATTTTTTTATTTAAATTGCTTTTAAAAATTTAAGAGGTCGTAAAACGTAATGCACCTTAGTCGGAAGGCCGTGTTTGCAAAGTGTCAGATAAAAATACATTAAAATGCGGTTTACGGCATAACCGACTATCGTGATAAATATTCATGCAAATATCCACGCATCCTGGATTCCGTGTAAAAAGGAAAATAAGAACGCGGATAGATTATGTGCTATTACGTATCAGGCGCTTTGTTTATGTAGAGAGGGATAGTTTACTCGCAACACCACGATGAATACGCTTCGATGTTTTCAATTATATTATTTGGTACGATATGGTATAGTTGTCTCTTCTGGAGGTACATATATAGTCAAAATCAAAATCAAAATATTTTATTCAGCATTAAATTATTACAATTTTTTACTGAACGTCATGAGTCTACTACCAGTTCGGAAAGAAGAAGCCTCAGACCTGAGAAGAACTGGCGAAATTCAGATCAGTCAGATTTCCATATTTATTTATTTTTTATTTATTTATTTAATTTTTTTATTACATTTTTTTAAACACTAATTTAAACACCAACAGCGCAACAAAAACCATGTGTGATTTTCTCGTGCACTGCGGATTCATACGCGGTAGTTAATTAAACTTAAACATAAATCTATTAAAAACAGGTAAGAATATCCCCAACTTGTGTTGATTATAATTGTTTCGAGAATATAGAACAGATATTAAAAATTTTGGAATAAACATTTATAAATACCCGATGCTATCTTGGAATATCTAAATATTTGTATAGATAGAGGTTCGCGAAAGGAAGATTACTTTTACATAATATTTTTGATTTTTGATGATAATTTTTGTAAAGTTTTTTTATAATACATAATACCTATTAAAATTAAACATTAGGACAAATCGGACTAGTTTTTTATATTATACAAAAATAAGTGAAAATTAAGGAATTTTATTCATTGAGAAATATTAGACCCATTAAAAAAGACTTAAACAATAATCTTAAAGAATATGCTCCTGTAACTTATCCCCTCTCACCTACTCCTAAATGAAAAAAAAAAGATATCAAGATAATCAAGAAAATGTAACCATTAATGATTAAAAACCTCAGAATTCTATTAAAATTAACTAAATTCTGAGTAGCTTTATTATGTTTAAATAAGTAATTTACGTTATTTAC